AAATCAGTAAACTAGAATAATAGCAAACAGTAAGTAAAACAGTAAATATAGTCAAAACAGAAACAATAAATAATTTCGAACCCACAATTTTATTGTGTATCTTTAAAGAATTTAATTCTCTCACTGTTTCCCAAGATATTTGGATTAATTTCTCCCAAGATAAAACGAAAAATTATTCTGTAATAGCGGCAATATAAATTACAGAACTTCAGCAAACTTAAATGGGGAGTAAATCACACACTGAACATTTACGCTTTGTTTTGAAAACAATGTTGAAATACAAAGAAGAAAGAGGAGAGTTTGAAGATTTTTAGTGGTGGAAAATGAGGTCAAGTCTCTGAAATTATAACCAACCAGTTGGAGTTTCAACTGGTGGAATGATACATGTTCATGACAAAGGTATCTCTTCGACAGAAATGTATTCAAAATTCTGTTAAGCAAACTATCATTGGGAAAAAGATTGCGAATGCAGAAAACATTATCAAAAAATATATATAAATAAATTTGGTTCAAACAATATATCAATAAATCAGATCATCTGACCAAATCCAAATCCAAATTCGAGCAACGACGATAATAACGCGCAACTTATTTTTTCTCTCAACTCTTTAAGAGCTAGAAGAAGTGCTTCTATACATAAGAACAACCTATCTAATGAAGGAAAACGTTTATGTAATGACCCGACCGGTCATTTTGAGAATTAGCGTCCCGTTCAGTAGCTTAAGATCTCGAGTAGTTTCGTATTATACATTATGACGTGCGTGTATGGTCGGTTTTGGTTTTCATGCGATTTGGGATTTATTTGAAGGATGATTTATATTTTAGAAGCTTAAGTTGTAAGAGTTGATTGGGGTTTGACTTTTGCGTAGACGACTCCAGAATGGTGTTTTGATGATTCTAGTAGCTTTATATGGTATTTTTGGACTTAGGTGTATGCCCGTATTTGAATTTGGAGGTCCGAAGGTTGATTTGATATTTTTTGGCGAAAGTTAGAAAATTGAAGGTTTGGAAGGTTGAGAAGTTTGATCGGGAGTTGATTTTATTGATATCGGGTTCGGATTGTGATTTTGAGAGTTAGTATAGCTCTGTTGTGTCATTTGAGACTTGCATGCAAAATTTGAGGTCATTCCGGATTGAATTGATATGATTTGGCGCGAGTTATAGAATTTAAAAGTTTATTAGTTCGATAGACTTGAATTGAGGTGTGATTCGTAGTTTTGATATTGTTTGATGTGAATTGAGGTCTCGATTAGGTCCGTGTTTTATTTTGGAACTTGGTGTATGTTTGGACGGGGTCCTGAGGGGCTCGGGGGAGCTTCAGACGTGGTTCGGATCATTTTTGACTCATGTTGCATTGCTGAAGAGGGTCTGCTATTGGTGTTTCTACATCTACGGAAGAATGGATGCAGATACGAGTTCGCAGATGTGGACTAGTAGTCGTAGAAGCAAAAAGGGTCTAAGTTTGGGATCTCCGCAGATGCGAGGTCCTTTGGCGCATCTGCGTATGCGCAGAAGCGTTGTCGTGGGGCACAGAAGCGAGAAGTCATGCAGATGAGTGTTTGTGTCGCACATGCACTGTCGCAGAAGCGGATGTTCTTCCGCAGGTGTGATCAGTCGCCCTTCTAGTTGATTCGGCAGAAGCGACGTCGCATATGCAGTTGCTTGATCGCATTTGCGAATATGCCTGGGCAGACTGTATTTAATTCGAGGGTTTGCTCCGTTATTCACATTTTGAGTTGTAGAGCTCGGTTTTGGACAATTTTGGAGCGAATTTTCACGATTTGGATTGGGGTGAGTATTTTTTATCCGGATTTGGTTATATTTCATGATTTCATCCTTTTTTTTATCATTTAATTAGTGATTTGAATTGAAGAAATTGAAAATTTTTGTAAAAACTTTCTAAAACATAAATGATGATTTGAAGGCCGATTTGAGGTTGGAATTGGATGATTTTGGTATGGTTGGACTCGAATCGGAGTGGGTATTCGGATTTTATTGGTTTTGTCGGATTCTGACATACGAGCTCGAGGTTGACTTTTTAGTTTTTATTAAAGATCAAAGCTTCATTATCCGAAATTGTTTCCTGTGGCTTTTATTTTTGATATTAAGTTATTTTGGCAAGATTTGAGCCGTCCGGAGGTTGTTTCACACGGGAAGGTCTTTCTGGAGTATTAGCTTCTTTGAGGTAAGTATACTGCCTAACTTTGTGTGGGAAAAACTACCCCGTAGGATTGGGTTTAATTGCACTACTTGGACTATATGGAAGACGTGTACATGAGATGACGAGTGTGTACACAGCCCTTTATGTGTAAATTGACCGGATTAGACTCTTAGTCTCCTTATATGCATATAATTGAATTTGTCAATACATGTTCTACATTCCTTTGTTAAATTTATCCTTATATGCTTTAATTGAATTTGTCATTTCATGTTCTACATTTCACTATCAAGTCTATTCTTTCATGCTTCATTTGAAGTTGTTAGCACATGTTCTATCTTTTATATGTCAAGTTTACTCTTATATGTTTTATTTGAAGTTGTTACCTTTTATTGTTACGTTACCTCTTTCATTGTTGAATTATTCTAATTTGAAGTTGCTATTACATGATATCTCTTCGTTTTTATGTTATTCTCATGTATTTAGACGTAGTTGCTAGTTTGTACCATCTATTTCATTGTTAGTTTATGTCATACACTAAAATTCGAAGTTGCCACTTCATGAAATTACCTTTATTTTTGAGTTTATTCCTACGTAATTAATTGAAGTTGAAGTTATTGAAAGCCATTAACCTGTTTTAGTTATGAGTTATTTTTCCCATTTTATTTTGTTTCTATTGAGATTCTTGTACACATTGTAGTTGAGTCATGGAGTATGTGTTGTGGTGATATTGGTATTGTTGTTTTTGAAAAGGTTGTGGCCTATAGGCACTTGTGGTACGAGTGAATATGTCATGTTGTTATGATGTTAGCATATGTGATTTGTTGTGTGGTTCGATTGTTGTTATGCAGAGCATAAGGGCGGTATCTCGTTGATGTTGATAGTGCAGAGTGATACGGGTGGCTATTGTGTTATTGTTTGGGCGGAGTGATACAGGTGGCTATTGCGTTATTATATGGGAAGAGAGATACGGGTGTGTATTGTGTTAAATGTCTAGGAGGAGCAATAAGGGTGGTTATCATGATGTTGTCAATACAGAGAGATAAGGGTGGCTATGTCAGGGATGATACGTGACGGCCTGGGGGCATAATGTTGATGATATTTGTGCGATGGTGTGATTTTCCTTGTGTATGTCATGCACCTTACGTGACTTGTTGTGTTGTTTCCAATGAGCTACTTCATATCTTTGATATTACTTGTTGACTTGGACTATAATAGTACACTCGCACAAGCATACACCATAGCGTGCCGTTTACACCAGTTCAAGAGTATGAAACTTGACATTCATTGATCATGCATATGTATTCTTGTATTATCTGCTTCCATTATGATATTGAGCATGTGACCATACCGGGAGGATTGTGATGTTGAGCTTGTGGCCACGCCAGCAGATTGTGATGTTGAGCCTTTCACAGCGCCGGGCAGATTATGATAGTGAGTCTGTGACTATGTCGGGTAGATTGAGATATTAGCACATGAGTACTCCGTGCGGTTGCGATTAATAATGTCGGCACGGGGTGCCATGAGCATAAGATTTGTGATTTGGGACTCGTGACTTGTAATTTTGAGATGAGGTATCTCAGAGTAATATTGTTGTGAAACTTGTGCTAGGACGGTTGATTATTCGGTTGTCATTTGTTTACCTTATTTGGTTTCACTGGTACCTTAACAATCTTCTGATTGCTTTACGGTGTTTATCACAAGTTTATTCCTTGTTGTCATTTACTATTTTTGCTTTCATCATTAGCTCTATACTTATATACCGCATAGGTTATTATGACTAGTAGGTGTCTTGACTTGTACCTCGTCACTACTCCACCGAGGTTAGTCTTGATACTTACTAGGTATCGACCGTGGTGTACTCATACTGCACTTCTGCACATTTTTGTGCAGATCTAAGTATTGGAGATAACGGGCACAGTCAGAGTTAGCTTCTTGATTGCAAGGATTCAAGGTAGAGCTGCTTGGTCGTCGTAGTCCCTTGGAGTCCTTTTTCTTGGATTGTACTGTTAATTTATTATCAGAACAGTATTGTATTTTGTTTTTGAGATATTTCTATGTTTTCATCTATAGTTCGTGACTCTAGACTACCTAGTCTTGGGAGGATTGTGGTGATTATTGTCGCCTAGGCTTGTATCATATTTATTTTGGTATTTATATTAAACTATGTTTTAAATATTATGTTTAACTGGTTTAACTGTAGTAAGTAATCGGCTTACCTAGTCTTAGAGACTAGGTTCCATCACGACGCCTAAGGCGGCATTTTGGATCGTGACAAGTTGGCATAAAAGCTTTAGGTTCATAGGTTTTACAAGTTATGAACAAGTTTAGTAGAGTCTTGCAGATCGGTACGGAGACGTATGTACTTATTTTCGAGAGGCTAGGGAACTATTTGGAAAATTTCACTTCTTTCATTCTTATCGTGCGGATTCATTGCTTTCATAGTTTGAGCCTTTGCATTCCTATTCTCTCACAGATGGTGAGGACACGCACTACCAGATCAGATAAGCAGGCACCCACACCCGCACCCCCTGCTAAAGCCATGAGTGGTCGGGACCGAGGTAGAGGCAGATGAGGGGCACGTGCCATAGCTAGAGCACTTGCCAAAGTAGCAGCTGAAGAGCCACCAGTATCTCCAGTTGGAGGACAGACACCGGAGGTGCCTGTTGCTAACCCCGGACTTCAGGAGACGTTAGTGCAGTTCCTGAGCATGTTTGGTATATTAGCTCTAGCAGGATTGATCCCAAATGCACCAGCTACTTCACAGATTGGGGGAGGAGCTCAAACTCTTACCGTTCATACTCCAGAGCAACGGGCTCACATTGGTTAGGTTCCGAGTGTTATGCCGATACAACCTGTTATTTCGGTTCAGCCTGAGGTCAAGCCAGGGGCATTAGATGAGGAGCAGAAGAGGCTTGAGAGGTTTAAGAAGTATGACCCACCTATTTTCAATGGAACAACTACCAAGGATACGCAGGAGTTTCTACAGAAGTGTCACTGTATGCTCCGCACCATTGGTATTGTGGAGGTGAGCAGAGTTGCTTTTACTACATTTCAGCTGTCAGGAGCAGCATATCAGTGGTGGAAGGCTTATGAGGAGGGTAGGCAAGCTGATGCAGCATCACTCACTTAGACTCAGTTTTTAGAGATATTTTTGAGGGAGTTTGTTCCCAGACCCTCAGGGATGCGTAGCACACAGAGTTCGAGCAACTGCACCAGGGCACAATGATAGTGTCGGAGTACGCCATTAGGTAGTGCGAGTTGTCCCGACATGCACCTACCTTGGTTCCTACAGTCAGAAAGCGAGTCCTCAGATTTATCAAAGGGCTTAGTTATGGTCTTATATTCAGCATGGCTCAGGTTATGGAGATTGTAGGAGGTTAGAGTGTATTTTGGGCGAGGAGAGGAAGGATAAGGAGGCCAAGAGGTCTCGAGGTTCTACTCTTCAGCTCTGACCCATTTTTGGCGGGAGCTCAGTCAGTCGGCCAGTCCAATTCGCACTTCAAACTACTCGTGGTGCTTCAGCTAGTCAAGGACCTCAAGGTACTCATATGGGGCAGTCTTCTTTTAGTGCACCACATGTACGGGGTTCCTACAGTGGTTATTCCAATCATCCAACACAGACTCAGTACCAGCAGCCACGCTCGCAGTGAGGTTGTTATGAGTGTCGCGATACTAGGCACATAATGAAGGATTGTCCCAGACTCAGGAGAGGTGGGTTTCATCAGGGCACACAGACTATGAGCCTCATTCTAGTTACTACTCCACCCATGCAGCCAGCCAGAGGAGGAGGACATGCAAGTAGAGGGCATCCTAGAGGGGGAGGCCCGGCCCGTTGATATGCTTTCCATGGTAGGGTTGAGGCCGTTGCACCAGATGATATCCCTACAGGTATGGTTTTGGTTTGTCATAGAGGAGCATCAGTCTTACTTTGATCAGGTCCTATTTATCAAAGTGAGTCCTCCTCCTACTTGCTTCATATATGGATGTGCTTCGTGATTCTTGTACTCTGCATATGTGTTTGCACCTGTTGAGAGATTCTATAGTGGTAGCCAGTGTCTATCATTTTAATTTGCTCACTATTGAGAGTTATGAGACTAGGATGCATTTTTTGTTACTTAATACGGTTGGTTTTGATGTGATTTCTGGATGGTTTGGCTACGGCTTGTGATCTTGGTGCTCTACTGGTATGAGAAGTCCATTATGTGTTGTGGTTTTGATCCGTGAAATTGAGTTAGTGAAAGGTTTCGGTTGGTGTGAAGTCTATTCTACTTGTGATTTAGAGCTGAGAATGGGATCCTCGTGTTTTTATGTGGGTCAGTATGTTTGGACTGCGTTGCGCGGTAGAGTTATATTAGGATGAGAGCCTTGCGATTAGTTCATATGTTTTGTTACTCCCTTTTGGAATGGACTCGTAGTATGATACCGATGGGGAGTTGTACCTGTTGGACTTGTTTGATAGTTCTCTCATGTATTTCTGTTTTCATATTCGAGTTGTGCTTGTTGAGTTTAGATTGCGAGGTATGTGCCCAGGTGGAGTTGGGTGTGATTTGTTGATATGGGTAAGTGGTTATGAAATTTTCATGCTTCTTACATCATTAGAAGTGTTGGGAAGTTTTGGAACAGGGTTCTAGTTGATACGAGGTTGATTACCAGTACTGGATTTGATTATGGGCAGCTATTGTGGTCAGAGTTGTTGCTATGGGCATAAGGGCGATGTATTATTTCATGTGGCTATACCTTGTGGGTGTATGCATGAGTTGTTGCAACTGTTTGAGGTTGATATAGTGTTTTTATGTGGTGATTGGATATTTGGTGAAATGTTTGGATGTTGAAATTTGGTTCTAAGGCTTATCGGTATGGGTGGAAGGGATAATCTTCAGTTGATGTGGTTTTGTCGGGCTTATGAGGATTGGGGTGATGTGGGATCACCCATGAAAATGAGTATGGCGAGTTCATTCGGTGATTTGATGGCTTCGGAGAGACCATTGGCACGTTCGACGATGAACGTTTATTTAAAAGGGGGAGAATGTAATGACCCGACATGTCGTTTTGAAAATTAGCATCTCGTTCGGTGGCTTAAGGTCTCGAGTAGCTTCGTATTATGCATTATGATGTGCGTGTATGGTCGGTTTCGATTTCGTGCGATTTGGGTTTTATTTTGAAGGATGATTTTCATTTTAGAAGCTTAAGTTGTAAGAGTTGACTAGGGTTTGACTTTTGTATAGATGACTCCGGAATGGTGTTTTGATGATTCCAGTATCTTCATAAGGTGATTTTGGACTTAGGTGTATGTCCGGATTTTGATTTGGAGGTCCGTAGGTTAGTTTGATGCTTTTTGGCGAAAGTTAAAAAGTTGAAGGTTTGGAAGATTGAGAAGTTTGACCGGGAATTGACTTTGTTGATATCAGGTTCATATTGTGATTCCGGGAGTTGGTATAGCTTCCTTGTGTCATTTGGGACTTACATACAAATTTTGAGGTCATTCCGGATTGATTTGATATGATTCGGAGCGAGTTGTAGAAGTTGAAAGTTTATTAGTTCGTTAGGCTTGAATTGAGGTGCGATTCATAGTTTTGATGTTATTTGATGCAATTTGAGGCCTCGAACAGGTCCTTGTTACATTTTGGAACTTGTTGGTTTGTTCGGACGGGGTTCCGAGGGGCTCGGGGGAGTTTCGAGCGTGGTTCAGATCATTTTTGACTCATGTTGCATTGCTGAAGAGGGTCCGGTGCTGGTGTTTCCGCATCTGCCAAAGAATGGACGCAGATGCGAGGTCCTTTGGTGCATCTGCATGTGCACAAAAGCGTTGTCGTGGGGCACAGAAGCGGGACGTCACGCAGATGCATATTTTGCGTCGCACCTACACTATCGCAGAAGCGGATGTTCTTCTGCAGGTGCGATCGTTCGCCCTTCCAGTAAATTCCACAGAAGCGGCTCTTGCATTGCAGAAGCGACGCTGCAAATACGGTTGCTTAATCTCATTTGCGAAATGCCTGGGCAGACTATATTTCATTCGAGGGTTTGCTCCTTTACTCATATTTTTTGAGTAGTTTCACGATTTGGATTGGGGTAAGTATTTTTGATACGGATTTGGTCATATTTCATGATTTCATACTTGTTTTTATTATTTAATTAGTGATTTGAATTGAAGAAATTGGGAATTTTTGCAAAAACTTTCTAAAACATAAAATGATGATTTGAAGGCCGATTTGGGGTCGGAATGTTGATTTTAGTATGGTTGGGCTTGTATCGGAATGGGTATTTGGATTTTGTTAGTTTTGTCGGGTTCGAGGTGTGAGCCTGACTTTTTTTTTTTTATTAAAGATCGAAGCTTTATTATCCAAAATTATTTTCTATGGCTTTTATTTATGATATTAAGTTATTTTGGCTAGATTCAAGCCGTCCGAAGATTGTTTCACACGGGAAGGTCTTTTTAGAGTATTGATTTAGCTTCTTTGAGGTAAGTATCTTGCCTAACTTTGTGTGGGAGAAACCACCCTGTAGGATTGGGTTTAATTTCACTACTTGAATTATATGGAAGACGTGTATATGAGGTCACAAGTGTGTACACGGCTTTATATGTGGAAATTGACCGGATTAGACTCTTAGGCTCTTTATATGCATATAATTGAATTTGTCATTACTAGTTCTACATTCCTTTGTTAAATTTATCCTTATATGCTTTAATTGAATCTGTCAATTCATGTGCTACATTTTACTATCAATCTATTCTTACATGCTTCATTTGAAGTTGTTAGCACATGTTCTATCTTTTATTTGTCAAGTTTACTCTTATATGTTTTATTTAAAGTTGTTACCTTTAATTGTCACGTTACCTCTTTCATTGTTGAATTATTCTTATTTGAAGTTGCTATTACATGATATCTCTTCGTTTTCAAGTTATTCTCATGTATTTAGACGTAGTTGCTAGTTTGTACCATCTCTTTCATTGTTAGCTTATATCATACACCAGAATTCAAAGTTGCCACTTCATGAAAATACCTTCATTATTGAGTTTATTCTTAAGTAATTAATTAAAGTTGAAGTTATTGAAAGCCATTAACCTGTTTTAGTTGAAGTTGTCGTTTAATGAAGTATTGTTCTTGTACACATTATGGTTGAGCCGTGGGCTATATGTTCTGGTGATATTGGTATTGTTATTTTTTAAAAGGTTGTGGCCTATAGGCACTTGTGGTACGAGTGAATATGTCATGTTGTTATGATGTTAGCATATGTGATTTGTTGTGTGGTTCGATTGTTGTTATGCAGAGCATAAGGGTGACATCTCACTGTTATTGATAGTGTAGAGTGATATGGGTGGCTATTGCGTTATTGTTTGAGTAGAGTGATGCGGGTGGCTATTGCGTTATTATCTGAGAGGAGAGATACGGGTGGTTATTATGCGGAGTGATACGGGTGGCTATTGTGTTAAATGTCTGGGAGGAGCGATAAGGATGTTTATCATGATGTTGTCAATACAGAGAGATAAGGGTGGCTATGTCAGGGATGATACGTGACGGCCTGGGGGCATAATGTTGATGATATTTGTGTGATGGTATGATTTTTCTTGTGTATGTCATGCACCTTACGTGACTTGTTGTGTTGTTTCCAATGAGCTACTTCATGTTTTTGATATTACTTGTTGACTTGGACTGTAATAGTACACTCGCACAAGCATATACTGTAGCATGTCGTTTACACCAGTTCAAGAGTATGAAACTTGACATTCATTGATCATGCATATGCATTCTTGTATTATCTGCTTCTATATTGAGCATGTAGCCATGCCGGGCGGATTGTGATGTTAAGCCTGTGACCACGCCGGGCAGATTGTGATGTTGAGCCTATGATCGCGCCGGACAAATTATGATAGTGAGCTTGTGACTATGTCAGGCGGATTGAGATATTGGCATGGGAGTTGTCCGTGCGGTTGTGATTAATAATATGGGCACGGGGTGCCATGAGCATAAGGTTTGTGATTTGGGACTCGTGACTTGTGATTTTGAGATGAGGTATCTCGGAGTAATATTTTTATGAAACTTGTGCTAGGACGGTTGATTATTCGGTTGCCATTTGTTTACCTTATTTGGTTTCACTGGTACCTTAACGGTGTTCTGATTGCTTTACGGTGTTTATCACATATTTATTCCTTATTGTCATTGCTGATTTTTGCTTTCATCATTAGCTTTCTACTTATATACTGCACATGTTATTATGACTAGTAGGAATCTTGACTTGTACCTCGACACTACTCCACTGAGGTAAGTCTTAATACTTAATGGGTACCGACCGTGGTGTACTCATATTACACTTCTGCACATTTTTGTGCAGATCCAGGTATTGGAGATAACGGGCACAGGCAGAGTTAGCTTCTTGATCGTGAGGATTTAAGGTAGAGCTTCTTGATCGTCGCAGTCCCTTGAAGTCTTTTTTCTTTGATTGTACTGTTAATTTGTTATCCGAATAATATTGTATTTTATTTTTGAGATATTTCTATGTATTCTTCTAGAGTTCGTGACTCTGTACTACCTAGTCTTGGGAGGATTGTGGTGATCATTGCCGCGTAGGCTTGTGTCATATTTATTTCGGTATTTATATTAAACTCTGTTTTAAAATATTATGTTTAACTGATTTAATTGTGTTAAGTAATTGGCTTACCTAGTCTTAGAGACTAGGTGCGGGAATTTTGGGTGCTGACAGTTCCTTTTGTAAATAAGAACCAATTCGGAAAATTTTATTTCTCACCATTTTCCGTTCAACCTTTACTTAAAAATTCCAATACTTTTTTGTTCTATCATAATTGGACAAACTTTTCCTCGGAAATATTTATCATGAAACAGAAATAGCAACATTTTTAAAGTCTGTTAGGATTAGCTAATTATAAATAGCTGATAAGTTTGGAGTGCTGAAAAGCTTTTTTAAGTACTGAAACTGATTTTTAAAATAAACATTTACATGTTTGGATAGAAGTGCTGAAATTGATACAATTGATGTGTTTGATAAAAAAAGTGTTGATAAGCTATTCTTTTGTTAAAATGACTAAAAGTTCTGAATTTTAAGGATAAACTAGTAAAAGTGTTGGTCAAGCTAAAAGTGCTTATAAGCTAATTAAAAAACTATAAGTTGGGGATGATCAACTTATGACTTATGGCTGATTTTAGCTTATAAGTATTTTGAGTATTTACCAAATGCATAAATAAGCCATAAGATATTTATAAGCCAGTTTGACCCGCTTATAAGCTTAGCCAAACAACCCTCGTAAAGTCACCAAACAATTGTCTTATACCTCTTTACCCATTAGACTATCATCCACTTAACTTAGAAAGTGACGCAAAACCAAAGCATAAATTGTTGTATTTGCTACAAAAAATTGTGTTTACACCGAAACAATAAAAAACTTGTCAAAGAGGAAAATTAGTCACAAAGTAGGACATTAATAAAATATACTATAACACAATTTTATGTAAAACACACGTGGTTGTTTTCGTACATACACCAAATGCAAATAAATTTACAGTTTTTTCCCTTCATTTTTCGTGGGACACACATTGGAAAAAACAAGTCAATAACCAAACACTATAGCGGTTAATTAACCGCTCTGCCATGTTTGAAGAATGAAGTTTTGGGATGTCATTCTACAACTCTGTGATTCTCATCCATTCTATTGAAACTTGTACAGTGTGCATGTTCAATTCCTGGAGACATGATACCATACGCACATGTTGCAGTTGCTTTGGTATTTTCCCTGCTTTTAGTATCAGCATCAGTTGTGTCCTTTGCATATCCCCAAACGTTTTCAGGTATGTATATATTGTGAATTTGCTAAAAAAAGATGATATATGGGAGTATTGTTTTCGCTAAGATATAATATATACTGATAGTGCAAAGAATTTTGCTTTTCGCATTGATGAGTATGAAGAATTTTACAATATCAGTGTGCAAATTTAGCCAGTAACCTTGACCAAAATTTTAGTGTCAATGCCTCTCAGCTGTTTTTGGCAAAAGCATTTGAAGTAGGAGTACTAATTTTTCTCTATATATTGGCCAACTTCATGACCCAATGGTATGGAATTGATGTGTTTTTCTCCAACTTCTATATGTAAGTTGTTGACGAATACATCCTCAATACCAACTTATGTAAATTAAAATTGGTTCTTTCATATACAGAAAGGTTAGGTTGAGATTTTTAATTTTGTTTTCCTCCTTTTTGTCATTTGACCTTGCTGTTGAATTTTGGCCTCATTTTCCGCTTTATATGCATCAAATATAGTTATAGTTCGCAAAAATTGCATACTGTTCAACCTTCTAAAATCTTTTGAATTTTTACATTTGTTTTGTTTAGGTCAAGAATCTTTCAAGAAAGCTGCTGCATATAGACTCAGCAAGCCACTGATCAGTGATGATGGGAAGGTTTATGTGTGTTCAGAAAAGAACTTTTTTGCCTTTGAAGTCAATGGTTCCATAGCGTGGACGTTGTCTCTCAATTACAAATGCAGCCCTAATTTAGCTCCAGTTCTAGGGGAATCAAGAAAGGTAAGATTTTAGGCTTAATCACTTCAATTAAGTTTACCTTAATTGCTGGACGGTTTACTTCTATAACTGACTTCTTTTGTTCACAAAAGTGTTTCTTGCTATTCAAAATGGTAAATTTGTGAGCATTTATATCTGTGGTTCTAGCTCCATATTCCTCTACTTTCATATATTCTCTTTAGACTTCCAGGAAAGATCTCATATCAGAATTTTACATTGGAACATGAGAAGAGAAGCCGCAGCACGTAACAACATTCGCATGATCTTAACAAGCTAGGTCCTTTGATTAAATGGTGGACGACGCTGGCATCTGTTATCTCGGATAGCCTACACAGACAAATGGATAATTTTTATAGGCTCAGTCTACGCAATCAGAATGAACATGAAAGAGATAGGAGTGTACTAGAAACTGGAAAGTAAAAGCTAATAGATGATTGAGAACTAGATAGAGAATTCTGTCATTGCAGAAGCTAAGATTTACACGGAAGTATAAGAAAAAATTCTATAGTCGATAGTCCTAAGAAACTAAACCAAGATTTTATATGATTTGGCATGAATATTTTTTGAGTAATGTTGGTTATTACTACTAGTCCTTATTTTATTCTCAAAATGAATTAGTGAATATATAAAATGGTTTTATGGGGCGAGCATGAATCGTGTGACTTTTTAGTTTGCTGAGGCTTTTCGCGTTCACCTGAAATAGGTTTCCTATCAAAAATGTTGAAGTTTGAAATTCTGAAAGGTATAGTTATTCTGATCTAACCTTTAACTGTGTGTTTCTTCCTTCTGGGGACAAGGCAAAGAGTGAAACTCATACCTGTTAGTTTCAACGTTCCTGCAATTGTGGAATCGTTAACATAAGAGTTGGCAATGTTTATCTAATAATGTGGAAATCACAAGCCTTCTAAATGTTGTGGACTCATTATTTGTCACTGTTCTAATGCTGCTCTTTCAAATGTAAAGAACTTTGTCCATATTTAAATAGGCTAATTTTCTTTACATGACAGTTTCAATGAGATTTTTTTGGTAACTGTATGTCAAAGTTCTCATTTTGACTTATAATGTAGTGTTTTAGTACAAGTTCTAAATCCTGCAAAACATATACCAAAAGGGGCAGCCTTAGTCCCTGCCAAGTTTGATATAAGAGCTTGACATCTTGTTTCATCTATTAATTGGTATTGTTTCTTTTAGTATTTTTGTTTGGTTATTAATTATGCAAGCTATTTTTGGTAGATATATGTGGTTGCAGAAGACAGAGTGCTGAAGATCAACCCTTTGAATGTTGGAAGTTCTGAAATAGCTGTAGAATTGTTTTTTGGTACAGAATCTGAAAGACCGGGGGAGATTATTGGCCTTGCAGTAAGTATGTCCAGTTCCTTTGTACTTATCAATGTCAAAAACAGGGGTCTCTTTTCTTACCGGTTGCACGGAAAGCTGCACTGGAGTGCTGGCCCGGTACTTTATCAACGTGGATATCGTCAAGGTTGCAGGAAAAACATCACTGAGTGTTATTTTTCCTCGGATCCTGTGTTCGATCACTGTGAAGCTAGTATATATGTAAGCTTTTCTGTTCCCAACTTCAGTAAACATATTCTATATTTTGGACTTTAACTATTTGTACGGTATTACTCTTTCCATGTGTGCATCAAGCGAATACTTCATTAGTAACAGATAAAGGAGCAGCCGCTGATGCATTTCCTATATATCCATCTAAGGCAGTTATTTTCTCTGCTTATACAATGGAGTTGTATGCTCTTTAAACTTGTCCTTTGCATAAAGCTTTATCTTGCATGTACTTTAATATATCCCAATTCAACCCTTCTTTCTCCAACTGCAGATCTCAAATAATCAAGGAGAAATTTATGCTCTGTCAACTCGTAGTCCACATTTCAAATGGATCCAAGATTTCAGTTCATTCGGCAATACACTGACCATGACATCTGGCAATAATGGTCTACTGTATGTTACTATAGCAGCTAAAGCTCTGGTGCTAGCAGTTGATGTTTCCAGGGGAAGCATTTTGTGGCAGACAAGTATTGGACCGCCAAGTACATCAGATTATGCCCCCGCTGTTGATTCTAATGGTAGTATTTTCCGTTACCTTTGATGCTCAGAACTTACTTAAAATTTAGCAACTTTTAATTGTAGTTTGGCTTATAGACTCTTAAGTAAATTTATCTGACATGAACTTGTAATTGTATCAGCCTTTCCAACTTATTCATTTTTCTTTTCAAATTCAATTCCAGGTTGGATATCTATTGGTTCATTGGACGGTTACCTCTATTCATTTTCACCAGAAGGAGTTATCAGAAAATTCCCTAAAGTGCTTAACATGGATTCTGCAATCCAAGTTAGTCCTGTTCTTGATTGCTCAGGATATGCAATCTATGTTTCTCAGACAGAGATTGAAGGAAAGATTACTCGGATAATTGGAGATTACACTTACATCTCTGCGACGAAACCAATGGGCGTTATCTTCACACTGATTAGTCCAGTTACTGGGACCATATTTTGGTCTGAACAATATCCTGGTAACTACCCCGCTCTTTTCCCTAGGCCCGAAAATCTGTTTGGCCGTGTCAACAACATCAGTAGTTTAATCACTTATCTGCAGCACCCTAACCTCCATTATTTACTATTGCATCAGGCCAATTCTCCTCGGAATTTTTGAGAAGTGACCTGCAACATTTTCTTCTGGATGAAAGTGTCCTCCTTGCTTTTTTTGCAGCTTCAAGTGAGTATCTTCACAATTACGGATGCGCTGTATTTACATTGAATACATGAATGTCTCAACAGGTCTCGAATATTTGATATCGATGAATAAAACAAGCTTCCATTTCTTTTGCATTTGAAGAGGGTGATGCAGTCATCAAGAAGGACTTGAGCAGTGCTTCAATTTTAGCTGTTTCTTCTATACAGTTCATAAAATCTCACTTCCGGAATAAGTGTAGAATCTAAGGAGATTTTCACTGTGCAATTCATCTATGCTTAATGTATATCTAATAGAGATGGATTACTCCTGCAGGTATTGGGAATCCACTGCCATGCCGAAGCGCACGTAAATATCCTATACCTTTAATAATTTTCTCTTATATTGCACATAGACAATATCATATATATATCACGGTAAGTTCCTAGCATCCTCTTGCTTCAGTTGATTCATTATTCTTTTGCATCAGGTCAGAAGTTTGCATTAAGCTGCTCACAGATTAAGCCTAAGAATTTCAGCATCTACACAGGTAACATCTTACATATTTTTGTAGTGATGTTGCTAGCCAATCAAGATTCCAACTAATTAACTTCTTTTTCTTCAGGTAATAAGAAGACAATTTTTCTGTTTCTGATCTTGGAATCTATCATATTGATAGTACTAGCAGTACTAGTAAGATTTTGCTGCATGTTTTGGAAGAAAAAGAAGCTTCAACATCAAGATCTTGGAAAATTCTTAGATAAAAGAGTAAGCTGAAATACATTCCCACTCTCTTTTCACCTTTTTGACTTTCTCTTGTATGAAAAATGAATTTAAGCCGGAAGAGACATTTTATGGGATTCGGCTCCCTCTCGATTATTCTTTCCAACAAGATCTTTCAGTACTCCATTCAGTTTGTTTCTATCCTTTATTTTTAGGTAAGAGATCCATATTTACTCCTCTACTGTACGAAATAATCTTAATTTTACCTTCTGTGCCATTCATACTCTTGTTGTCCAGCAAATCCTCTCGTATTAATGGAGCTCAGCTCCAGTCTAAAGTTACCTACCTCTGATATACTTCATGTTGGAGTTCCGTTAGGGTCAAGGATAAATACGAGACGATTTGCTAATGCAAGGGTATGAATGGCCCCAAAGAGTACAACGGAGAGTAAAATTTAAGAATCTTCGTGTTGTACCAAAACACTGAAAACTGAACTCATCTTTTTTGTCCATGTTTCAGCGATCACTTCGACTTGAGAAGAAAGCTTTTGACAGATCAATCACAGAGGTTCAACAAAAGGCCGCTGAGGAAGCAATAGGCAATGAGGTGTTGGAAAAGCTAGGCAATCTAGTTAAGGAAAGGGAAGGCATAGAAAGGAAGCTCTCAACCTCATACAGTTTGGGAAAGGACCAAACTGGTTCTCATTCAACGTCCCTCCTTCCACTGTCCGATAGAAGCTTTTCGTTTCAAGGCGCGAAGAAAGAGAGTGTTACTTTGTTTCATACAATCAGTGATACTTGTTCTGAAACTAGCTGGAGCGAGAGGGAACATTCCGAGATGCATATATCTGAAGATGAAGAAGAAACAGACGATGCAAAGTCACCCACTGAAATATTTAGTTGTAGCGATAATGAGATTTACAAGGAAGCATATCATGCTAGTCCATCTTGCTTGGCTTCCAGTTCGAAAGTGTTTATGAATACATCAAGCCGAGTGATCAAAAGGATTCCATCTGCAGAACCGCAGCATAAGCATAAGGAAGAGGAATTCATATTCAAGTAGCTAGGATATGTCGCTTTTCAACTTCAACTGGCCAAAATGCTTTCTATTTGAACGGAACTCCACAATTGCATAAGCACGTAAAGAAAAAAGTAGCTACCTCACTGTTACTTATGCTTGTATTTTGTGGATTCATCTCCTATTCAGAGCCCCCGATGGTTGGATCTATTAAGTGGCATATGCGGTATTTTACACAAGCAATATCAGTATATTGTCACAATTCCGCTTGTAAAGTTTGTCATGGTAGAATCTATTCGGCCTGTCGTATATATATATATATATATTCGGTCTGTCGTATATATGATATTTTTCAGAAATAATATATTTATATAGACATAAATAAAAAGGTTTTTTTTGCGAAGCAATATTGGATGACACTTTTTACTAAAAGGTATTTATGTTAATATACTATTAACCATGGATTTGGTTTGGATATAGTATTTATTGTGGAACAATTATTTATTCAATTTTAATAAAAATTTTAAATATATCATATATTCATATGCGTCCTTTACTTATATAGTAGATGATTTAGTGTATACAGTTTAGCTTATACACGGAAGATTAAATCAGCAGCAGTGTTTTAAAAGGCGTTTTCGGGGCGAGCCCTGGGCCGAGGCGCACCAAAAATGCCTCGATGCGAAAGTCTTAAGAGGCGTACGTCCGGGCGTTCGGGGCATACGCTCGGGCGTTTAAGGCGCGTTTTTGTCGTGAAGCGTAAGCCAGATACTTTTTCAAATTAAAATAAAATTTGTTAAATAAGTCCTTCATATAATACCCAAATTCTCAAAAGTAAGCTTGTAATTACTCGAAAATTTTAAAACTGAAATATATTAAATTTAAAAGTCAAGACCTTTTTTATTGATTGAAGCCCTAATTTATGGTCTTTCCCAATTCTTTATCTTGTCCCTAGTCTCCTAATATCTCCCAAAAGCAAACGAATATTCAATTTTTTTTACATATACAAAAAGAACTCCATATTCCTTCATAGTAGCAAGTTCAAAGTTGAAATTACACGCTAGTCATCCTTTTTATCTTCCATGTAGAAAACTTTATTCTTTTCGACTCAAGTTACTTGTGCTTGTAAGTAGCGTATAATAGATTATTTTGACTAGTTTTTTGTGAGGATGCATCACATCTCTCTCTATATATTTTTCACATATTTATAGTTTTCTTCAATTTTCATGCAATTTTACCTATTTATAAATATTTACTGTAATTATATTATTTTATAAAATATTAAAAATTAAATACCCATTGGATTTACACCCCGTGCCTCGGGGCTTACGCCTCGTTGAGGCATCTGTAAAACGCTCCGCCTTATGCCCACGCCTTTTAAGACACTGATCGTCGGTTCTTATAAGTATAAAGATCACGTTCACAATCTAACGATGGAATTGGACAAACCATTAGGAATGATTGTAGCACAAGATTAAATATAATTTATCTTAATTCTGACTTCTTGTGCTAGTACATTTTGTATGTATTAAACGGACCAAGTAGAGATAAGTATTTTATACTGACTTAATAAAATAACTTCTCTAGCCACTAAACGTACTTATACTTTTAATCTTTATATAATTATTATTAGTTGTGTATATTATTTATTATTTTGATTTATTAAAAGGCGAGATTCTTTTGTGGGTTAATATGCCTAGTAAATTGGACAATGATAATATACATTGGCGAAATAATAGTTAGTTGATGGAATCCATATCTCGGTCTAGTGATTGATGATACACCTTTATGAAAGCTTATAAGTTTTTTTGTGTAAACCCTGCAGGTGAATTTTGTATCCGTCACATGAAATAAGTTAAGCGAAAGTCTAAAGGAAATAATTAATGAATTAAATTATTAGTAATTTAATTTATTTGATTAGTATCTGAATCTTAACACGGGGAGTTAAATAAGGTTTAATGAAAGAATTTCGAAATTGAACTGAGGAGTGCAATTACGAATTTTTAGTGAAATAATTCGTAATTTATTATGGTAGTATTAATTCGAATATTTCGAATTAAGTCCATAATAGGAAGCCTCGTTAATTAAATATTGCGGTCCCTGTTGTGCCTGGTTTAGAAAAAGGTTTTAAACCCCAAAACCTGTGACTATATAAAAGGGTCTTATTCCATAAGGAGACAGAAATTCGCCCACACGAATAATTCTGGGCATTATTCGGATCACACAGTAGAAGACTATGGAACTGGAGGATGATCCCCTGGATGATTTCGCTCTTACTTGAAGGCTCTTTTCGCGATCGTGATCGTGGTCACGCTTCAAGAGATAAGTATCTATTTTATGTTTGATTAAAACATATGATTATGTGTTGTCAATATTACGTGCAAGTGATCCTTGCTATTTGCTTCCGCTGTTTATACTTATTTTCCATCAATTGGTATCAGAGCCTTCTTACATCTATATAGATATCATGAAATACGTTTGAATATATGTGTGGTTATATACATGTATGTGCAGTTTATCTTTCCTTTAACGTAGGAAAGGAATTAAATCAAGATTAATCTGTGGTTTTAAAAAAAGCCAGTAGTTGAGAATTCTGGAATCTGGACGATGTTTCTCACAAAGTTGTATATGGCTTAATATGAACACTGTTTTGGAGGCGGCGGTGAAATTGTCTGAAAAACAGAATTTAGTTGCCTCTTGGATATTTAGTGACGGTGACGGCAACAGTAAGACGATAGTTTCTTGCAAGTATTAAAAGTGACTTGTGTTTTGGTTCACATGATGTAGTGGCCAAAAAGACTTTGAAATGACCATTAGATTGCTTTGTTTTAAATTGGTTTAAAAGTAACTAAAGGGAGGTGGATAAGAGCCTGTTTGGCCAAGCTTCTCGAAGGGCAAAAGTACTTTTTTTCTCAAAAACGTACTTTTAAAAAAATTTAAATTGTTTGACCAAGACAGAGAAGTACTATAATGATCCGGACAGTCGTTTTGAGAATTTAAGTCCCGTCCGACGGCATAAGTCCCTGAGCAGCTTCATATTATATGCCTTGACTTGTGTACGTGGTTGGATTCAATTATCAGGTGATTCGAAGTGATTTGGGATACTTAGTCCCTAAATGAGAGCTTAAGTCTTAGTTGGAACTGTGTGAAGACGGATCCGGAATGGAATTCTGTCGACTCCGTTAGCTCCGTTGAGTGATTTTGAGCTTAGGAGCGCGTCCCGAATGTGTTTGGGAGGTCAGTAGTAGATTTAGGCTTGAATTGGCGAAAGTTAGATTTTCGGCGATTTCGGCCGATAGTGGAAATTTTGATATCTAGTTCGGAATGGATTTCTAAAAGTGGTTGTGGGTTCGTAGTGTCATTTGTGACCTGTGTGTAAAATTTGAGGTCATTCGGACGTGGTTTGATAGGTTTCGGCATCGGTTGTAGGAATTTAAAGTTTCAAGTTCTTTAAGTTTGAATTGGAAGGTGATTCGTGATTTTAGCATTAGTTGATGTGATTTGAAGGCTCGACTAAGTCCATATGGTGTTTTAGGATTGGTTGGTATGTTTGGTTGAGGTCCCGGGGGGCTCGGGTGAGTTTCGAGTGCTTAACGGATCAAATATTGAATTTGTGTTGCTACTAAAGTCTTCAGGCATCTGTCATTTTCGCACTTGCGGTGGAGAGACCGCAGGTGCGTGATCGCACATGCGGGGAGGCAAGCGTAGAAGCAGAAAAATGGAAGAGTGCCAGGGGTCGCAGGTGTGAGGTGAATTCCGCATCTGCGATGCCCGCGGATGCGTTAGGGTCACGCAGGCGCAGAGGAAATCGTAGAAGTGGACAATAGTACTCAGGTGCGCATTCGCAGGTGCGGCCCTTTTTCCGCAGAAGCAGACCAAACCCTCTTAAGTCGTTTCCGCACCTGCGAAGGAAATTCCGCAGGTGCGGCGTCACAGGTGCGACCCAAGGTCCGCAGATGCGGAATAACTGGGCAGAAAAGGGGCAGATTCGAGGGTTTGAAGTTCACTTCACAAATTTGATTGAGAGCTCGGTAGAAGGCAGAATTTGGAGAGATTTTCGGAGGAAGTTTTTGGGTAATGATTCTTAACTCCCTTATGGTTATATTCCACTAATCTATGCTAGTATTCATCGTTTAAATTCGTATTTGGGGTGAAAAATTGAGAAAAGTTCTTAGGTCGAATTTTAGCATTTTGATCGAGATTTTGGTGTCGGATTTTAGTAAATTCGATATGGTTAGACTCGTGAGTGAATGACTTTCGTATTTTATGACTTTTACCCTATTCCGAGACCTGGGCCCGTGTCGACTTTTTAGGGCGAATTTCGGAATTTTTGTTAAAGTATTGATTTAATTAATTAGATGAGTCTATTATGATTGTAAATATGATATGTAATTGCTTTTGGCTAGATTTGGACCATTCAGAGCCGGATATTCGTGGAAAGGGCATTCTTACGGATTGATTGAGCTTGACTCGAGGTAAGTATCTTGCTTAACTTTGTGTGGGAGAACTACCCCTTAGGATTTGAGTCATCTATGTTGATTGTAGTCTGTGTACGCGAGGTGACGAGTGCGTGCTCGGATTTATTTGTAGAAAGTTGGCCTTTTAGGGTTCTTATGTCCTTATATTCACTGTGTATGATGTTGTTTTTGATACGTTTGAATTCCTATTTGCTAGTTTCACCTCTACATGATTTGATTAGAGATAATTGCTTTAGAATTCACTCTTACTGTCTATTTGACCCTTATTCGACTTAACCAAAGATTTTACCTCTTCTATCGTCGTGCTATATTTTTCATAACTGCTTATCTTTAATTGAAATCATTATTTTCTCATCCTATAATTGTTTAGTCTTAATTGGAGTTATGATTATCTTCCGCTGCTTATCCTTACTTGAATTGTTGAATTTTTCTCGTAATTGCTCAACCTCAAAAGGAGTTTAGATAACCTATATCTTAGTTGACTTGCCATTATTTGGAACTATTTGACTCGTGTTGGCTTCTTATTGTTGACTTGAATATTGTGGAATTGTTGCTACATTTTTATTTTGTTTTTCCTTGTTAAGTTGTTCTCCTTGTGCCTAGCATTCCTTATTGTGGTTATTCCTTGTGAATGAGTTCTACCATTCTTGTGATTTAAATTCTTGAGTTGATTTGCTCGTCGTACCTTGCATTTCTATCATTGTTGCTTTTGTACTAGTTGTGGTGATGTGCGAGGTTTCTGTCGTGTTATAGTTGTTATCTCTATTGTCAGCACT